CTTGGCCAAAGACTGGAAAATGGCACAGGACACAGTTTTATGTAGACGTTTGGACATAATTTGTAAAATAATATATTGTTGATGTGTGAATATGTGAATATGAGAACAAATCCTTTACAGGTGTAAAGTTAAATATGACATTTGGCTTCACATTGAGACACACACTCACACACACACACACATATAATGTATTTAAAGTGCCATTAGTTTTGCATGTCACTTTTTTTGCAATGTTAAATTAAGGAAATAAACAGTAATTATGCTTTATAATGTGCAGAAGTACACGTGTCTGTAGAATAAGTGACGTACAGTTAGAAAATCAACAACACAGTTTTATCAGAGATGCTCAGACTACAATCTAAACTGTATATAGATTGTAGTTTATGCATGTAAATTATTGAAAAACCAAACACTGCAAAAAATCCAACTCACTAAATGTTAGGCTAATTAAAAAAAGTGGGCCCAACAGTTGGCTCAACTTTCTCATGATGATTTAACAGACTCAACAACCTATACTGAGTTTATGACTGTCTCATAGCAGTCACGCTGCATCCACTGAAAATTTCAAGTTGATGTAACTTTTTCCGTGAGTTCCAGTACCCGGGCGGGTCTGCTGTTGAGCAAACTGGTCCAGTAGCGTCCAAAGGGCAGATTCTACTCGTACTGAAGCAGATTCCACCTATATTGAGGGCGATTTATATCACACCCATATTGAGGCAGATTCTACCCGTACTGAGGTCGGAGTCGAGAAGCAGAGGCGGGAAGCGCGCGCTTAGAGCAGCTTCTGGAAACTTCGGGAGGCTTCAAAACGCGTCTGGTAAGTAAATGCTTGTTTTATTTGACGTACCAACAATTTTTCAGTCAGAGTTAGTTTTACTCAAACCTAATCCTATGATTTGTAAGCGTTGAACTCTTTATGTGTCAAAACGAAAATGAGCATCACTTGCTAAGAGTCAGTTAGCTCGCTGTTATCTGCTGTGGTAGCAAGACTAGCGAGTCACCTCTTTTAGATGAATGTTTGCTCTGACAAAATAAGAAAAAAGTAAAAAAGAACTCAATTTGACCTTGGAGCGGTGTCGAATTTATATTCTAATATAGCTAGGTTAGCTAACCTGTGTGCGCAAGCTTAGCTAACGTTAGCAGGCTAAGTTAATAGCTCTGATGGAAGACCGGCTCACTTCCGGCTAACTCATGCTAACCCACGACGAATAAAGGCTCAAATCCGAGCAAGACATTATGAGTGACAGGTGTTGGAGGGACAGAAAAGGAGAAACTAACCAGCTTTTGTGATGTCCGGGGTTGTTATATAGCTATATATATATATATATATATATATATATATATATATATAGAGATGGAACGATATTAAAATTTCATATCACGATTATCATGGCCAGAATTATCACGATTATCGATATTATCGCGATATTGTTCAAATGCGTTGAAAAGTAAAATAAATAAATAAATAAGTAAATACTGATACACAAACTGAAATTCGTTTCACCATTACTATTATTATTATTATTATTACTGTTGTAAATTATTATTATTATTACTGCTGTATTATTATTATTATTATTAGTAGTAGTAGTAGTAGTAGTAGTAATTACAATAACTGGGGATTTCCCTGCATAGAGAATTAAATCTCGACCAACTCTGAGGTGGGTCTAATGGAAAATTACTACTTCTAAGAAGTGCTGCACTCGGGGGATTTCTGTCCGAACTGCAACTGCAGCATTATTGTGCCGTTGTGGCGCTGAACCCCTAATCAATACAGTGCACCAGGAAAAACAGCCAAAATCACAGAGGAATTGCATGACCGCGCTGTGAGCTGCAGACAGTGTAGAACTCACACAGTGTGTCTCCACCTGTGGAGCTGCTTCTCTAAAAGCATTTAAAACTAAAACATAACTTAAAATTAACATGCATCTGAGCTGCGGCAGAAACACTCCTGAAGTTTAATCTCTGAAACTCTGCTTTTCCTAAAAGCGGCACACAGCGTTTACTCGCGCGAGGTCCCGTCTCAAAGCACACTATCTTCCCTATGTAGTGCACTTCGTAGATCATGAAATAGCAAATCCTTCACCCAAAGAGTACATGAAATGTTCGACTAAGTCATCTATAATCAACATTAACAACAGGTTACAAATTCCCTATTTAACACTCAACTGCTTGTTAATGATGATCGTGTTTGTTTAAACAGTAGCGCACTATGTAGGGGACACGAGTGATTTGAGACAGTTATTCTCTTCTCAGAAAGTAAACACTGCAAGCGAGAAAGGGGAGCTGTGCAGATTGAACCTCTGCAGCGTCTCGTTCCGGAGCTTGTGTGACTGTTACCTCAGAGCTCATTTTGGAGACTCTGCTCCACAGAAATATGTGTTAAAAGCTTTAGTTTCGATTCACAGTTGATTCACCGATTGTTTTTCTTTTTTTCTGACGCTAAAAGCTTCATTTTATATTATTAACGAACCATAAACATAAGTTAAACCACACAAACCGTGACATTTCTTCTATTTCGAAGTCCCCACAGACTTCTCCGTTAAAGTTAACCTTGCATTCTCTAAAAAGTAGCAGGTGGTGGTCGCGAAGATGACTCGTAAGGTTTGATGTGTTGCCCCCTTTCGCCGCTATTTTCTTTCGGCCTGTTCTGCAGACAGGGTGGTCATCTTCAATTAACTTTCCTTCTGCATCTTTATAAAACCCAAAACATGACCAAACGTCAGACTTGGTCTTCATAGAAGGCTGAAATATCTCTGAATCTCTGTCACTACATTCCGCCATGTTCTCTCTTCTCTCCCTCTGCACTTACTGTTAAAACAATAAGTTATTATTTTAAGTGAGCTGTGATTTGGTAACTGAATGCTAAGTGACTTAAAATCCTGTTCAGACTACTTTTTGTGAAATCTTTGTTCTCTCTTCTATCCATGTCACTGCTTTAAAGGTTGACCAAATGTGTGCTCTTCTTGGAACGAAAATACTCTAAGGTGGGAAGGTGCCCATAAAGATTGTGCCCATGCTTTTAATTTTAAATTTCATTTTAAAATTTTTATTTTAAAATTACTACAATTCTGACTGGTGAGGATGTCTGAACTCGTTTGAACTCAACTGCAGCAGATGTGCTTTCTCAGCTACCTTTTTTACTTCTCTGGAGTTTTTCTTATACAACTAAAGTTTACAATATTAATTTTACTAAAGTTCTGCTTCAGTGTCTCTTTTTCCTCACTTCTAGGCCCCTCCCTCCCACCACACTGCAGCTACAGGAGCTTCTCACCAGGAGTGAACAAAGTACAAAACCACTGAACTTGAGTAAAATTAGAAATTCTCTGTATAAAATATGATTTGAGTTACAGTAAAAGTACTCTATTTATGATTTTACCTACAAAAGTTCTTAGTTTTAAAGTCAGTGTTAATCAGATATCATACTGCAATGAAACTATTGTTGGTTATTTTTTTATTTTATTTATATATTTATTTGGAAAAAATCATTGCAGTTGAAGATGGAAGATAATGGTAAAACGAATATAGTGTTTTATGTATAATGAATTTTGTTTAATACGTTCATGGACATTAACTAACAGTTGCAGTTATTTTGATGAATACTTTCTGTTAGGGGGGCTCTGTGGCTGCAGACATTAACGGTTCATGTCTGTAGCTAAGTCTCCTGAACAGAAAGTATTCATCAAAATTAACATATTTTCTATAATATCTTTTGCTTTTGATAGTTATATAATTTAAAAGCAAGTACAAATACTGGTTTACCTAACCAGTAAAAGAGCTACACTTCAGCTCTATCTACCTAGATACCACCAAAAAAGACAATTGCTTATTGGACAGTTGTCTACTGCGTGTTTGAAGAACTAACCCTGTATCCATCCTAAACATACAATGAAATAAAAATAGTATTGTAAAATGCAGCAGAGTTTAACTGTAAGCATTATTCTACCCAAAAAAAAATAAAATAAACTATAAATGACAGATGTTATTTCTTGGTTGCCAAAATCATTAGGCCTACTCTGAAGGTTTATAGGGCTATAAGGGTCTGAAGGTTATAAAGTTCTTCAGGGGTTTTTGAGTAAAGACAATGACTCTAAATAAAACCATGAACACTCAAAGAACCATGCATACTTAAATAGTTCATTCCATGGTGAAATAGTTCTATATAGAAGCATTTTCTTTGCTAAAGAAACCTTGAAGAGCTAACTTTATAAGTGTGTACAGTTCAGTTTTATCCACATTTAGTTGTTAAAATGGGCTGAAGCTTAAATACTAAAAGCGTCCATGTTTTGAGCTACTAAAAAGAAACAAACATAATGGTTACATTAGACTATAGGAGAATAAATGACATAATGAAAACTTGTTTATTGCATTTTAGTGACTTATTATACTCACATTAGCTCTGAAGTAATGAACTCCAGAAGTCACATAACACTAGTCTCAGGGATGAAATGCTGCCAACTATACACTAATATGATGTACATTTAGGTGATAATTCATGCTCAATAACTTGCATTACAAGGTTTGAACAGTGTATTGTTTATTGTGCATTATTACAACTAATAATGCAAGTAGTGATTTTCACATGACAGATGACCAACTTTGTTCTAATACAGAATATAATGAGTAAAATGGGTAAAACTGCAAATAAACTAATAAGAAGTGTATAAAATGAGGTTTAATGGAAAAAGAACAAGGCCTTAATAAAACTCCAATACATGGTTTCCTTTAGTATAAAGTGTCACACTGACAGGCACTCTTAATTTTCAATATCTTATGTTTGCTCTCATTTTTTTGCTCAGTATCAAATCATTTGAACAGTTTTTTTGGGCTACAAAGTCATTTCATCTTATTTATAAACATGGGCACATTTTTTCTGTTATCAAAATGGACTATTATGACATCAGTGAAACTCAGTGATGTCACAGGCACCTGACGGAACTCTGACACTGAGTGAGAGTTCCGAAAAACACAGATTTCAGCCATTTTGCTGCTGAGCATCGAAACAAACAACAGCCAAAATGCTGCTCTGCTGCTTTTTTCGGCCACGAATTGTGGACGATGAACCAAGCGAAGAGCAACAACTTAAAAAAGGAAAGCGTGTTAAGAAAGAGAAGAAAAAGAAGAGAGGAATGAAGAGGGGAAAACTGGAGGAGCAGTCTGAGAAGCAGGTGGAGGTGAAACAGACAAAAGCTGAAAAGGAGGAGGAAGAAAAGAAGGAAGTGGAGGAGGTGGCAGTAACTGAGGAGCTGAAAGATGAGGAGACGTCTCTGAAGAAGGAGCAGGTGGAGGAACCTGTCCCAGCAGATCCACTGGGTAAGTTCAGACAGGAACACATGAAGAAAACTAACGGACACAGTTTATAATCAGTATTTAGTGGTGGATAAAACAGCCATTATTCCCTCAAACATCCTTCAGGTTTCAGAGATGAATCCAGTGGTGATGCTGCCATTGACATTGAGCTGGTTAGAAAATGGATTGAAGGTAAATTATGACTAAGAATAAAAAGAACAAATCACTTTTACTTTCTGCTAATCCTATATAATTTTGAGTAATTCAAATTAAAGATTCCAAATTTGCCCAGCTTTCCCTTTACCGCAAATGTCATTCAGCCAAAATATGTTTGACATCTGTAATTTGCATCTATAGTTTTTCACTGGAACAAACAGGTGACAAAGTAATGGAAGCTTTACCAATTAGCACTGTGCTAACTGAGTGCCTAAACTGTGACACACTTGTCTCAATCCATATTGGGTTAAAGGGGAATTACACCATTTTCAAAATTACTGCATATTTTAAGTGTTGAGATGTAAACATAATTATACACATTGGACTTGAACAGGTGGTTGATGGGAACAGACTGTTGTTCAGGTATTGCAAACCTGTTGCTACAGTATTTCTGGTGGTTGTTAAGGTGTTGCTTGGAGGTCTCTGTGTGGTTCCTGGTGGTTGCTAGGGTTTTGGTAGGTGGTTACTATGGCGTCCCAGTGCGTTAATAGGGTATTGCTAGGTAGCCTCTATGGTGTTAAGGTTTCTTAGTAGTGTGTCGCTAGGTAGGTGCTAAGGTGTCTCAGTGGGTGGCTAAGGTGTTGCCCTGATATCCCAGATGGTTGCTAGGGTGTTGCTAGCTTGTTTGTATGGTGTTCCCAGTGGCTGTTAGGGTTTTATTAGGTACTAATAGCTTTCTAGGTAGTAGATTGTTCCAGATGATTGGTAGATTGTTGCTAGGTAGTTTCTATGGTACCTATAATGGAGTCTTGGGTGTTTGTTGGTGGTTACTATGGTGCCTTTAGTGATCTACTAGGGTTTTGCCAGTTAATTGCTGTAGTGTATTCCAGGTGGTTTCGAGGGTACTGCTAGGTAGGTTGGCATGGTGTTTATATCTCAACAACAAAGAGATGATGAAAAATAATAGTGAGAAAAATTTATATTGGATAACATAGTGCTATTACTAATAATGTGAAATACACTTGATGATGAAGTTACTGAGGCTGTATGTTGTTCTATAATCAGTAAAAAAATGACAAAATTGTGGTCAAATTTCAGCATTCAAGATGGCTGCTCTATACATTTTTCACTTTATTTTAATGAAGTAGCCCTAATCACATTATTTTTTATGCTATCAGAGCTGCTGATGGACATTATGACCGGATTCACAGATCATGATGACATCATGGATGAGCAGAAATCCCTCGATGCTGACTGTAGCAGCTCTGTTGGAGCTCCAGTGGAGGACAAAGAAATGACAGAAGTGGAGGAGGTGGCAGTAACAGAGGTGACGGTTGAAAAGAAGCAGGAGGTGACAGAGAGGGAGAAAGATGGGGTGGAGAAAGAGCTATTGTTGGAGGAGATCAGTATGGAGAGAGTGGAGGAAGTGAAGATGGACCTGGAGAGAGTAACAGAGGAGCTGAAAGATGAGGAGACGTCTCTGAAGGAGGAGCAGGTGGAGGAACCTGTCCCAGCAGATCCACTGGGTAAGTTCAGAGAGGAACACATGAAGGAAACTAACAGACACAGTTCAGATTCAGTATTTGATGGTGGATAAAACAGCTGCTATAAACTCTAATATCATTCTAGGTATCAGAGATGAATCCAGTGATGACTCTGCCAGTGAATCTGAGCTGCAGACTACAGCATGGTGTAAAGGTGAGAGTGAAGAATTTAATTCATTGTTTCTGTCATGTTAATAAAATCAGCACATATACCCTGTAACAAACAAGGATTACACAAGAAACAAGTAAAAATCATGAGTTCTGACTGACTTTGGTCATTGTAAGTTGACTTCAAGGAGAAAAATAAAATACTAGATAAAATATGGGCTCTTTACCAATATCAGTATTGCAGTATTAATGCTGATGCGTATCATGTCATGCATTGAACAAAATTAGAGCATAATTGGGATTTACTCCTCCTAGACCTGCTGTTGAACACAATTCTGGCAAACGCTGTGAGCAAACTGGAGGACAATGAGGCAAAAGCCAGCAGCACTGACTTTAAGAGCAGTGGTGATGCTCAGCATCAGAATTATGAGTTACTGCTCATGACAATGAAGAAGAAATGGGCCGGAAAATTCTCAGAAACGAGTGGTATGTCAGAAATACTATATTATTACTGAGCATTTTTACATGAAACATGAAAATCTTGATGTATTATCTCTATTTACTTAGAGAAGTCCATTGTATCTTCTGCTTCATTGTGTTGTAGCTGTGAGGAGGCCTCTGGTCCATCCTCTGACCTCCTGCCTCCACACTGATGCCCCAGTAGTCCTGCATCTCCATCTGAACTCCACAGTGGACTTCACCCTGAAAGATGAGCTGAAACAGATGGATCTGAAGAGGAAGTGGATGGAACGACTGAGGCAGAGGGAGGAGCTAAAGAAACTGAGTGGCAGTACTGTTATCATGCCGACGGATGTCAGCGACGCTGAGAAAAGTGGTGAGAAATGTAGAGTCATTGAGAGTCTTGAGCGTAAGACAGCTAGAAAATGTGAAGTTAGCCTATTATAGCATTGTTTAGGATTGCTAATGTGTATAGGCATGTATTCTATAGGAGGACGTTATATCATTCTTTTCAAGCCTCATCATGCCTTATCAAGGCAGTTATTGGTAATTAACATCTTGCTAATTACTACATTATAAAGCATCAAATAGAGTCAGTTAAGAATTCCAAGGGCACTTTTGCTTATTACTATGATGTAGAATACACAAATAAAAATGCTTAATTGACTATGTTTATGGCATAATGATGTAGTAATTAGCTTCCAGTTAATAACCAACAACTGACTTGATAAGGTTCAGTAAGAACATTACAGGTGGTCTGGAAAATGTTTACTTCACCCCAGTTATTGTTGCTTAGTAATGTAGTAATTAGCAGCATGTTAATTAACAGCTACTGGATGCTCATTACTGCACTTTTAAAGGACTGAATCATTGAAAAATTAAATGTACACAATTTTCCACTTACTACAGGTGTAGTCGATCAGCCGAGGCATTTTTAGTATCTAAATTTTGCTTCTTTAGTTTAGTGCTGGAGTTACAAGGTTAACATTACTAATAAACACCAATAATTACTCAAATTTTAATATGTCCCCAAAACCCAGTTAACCTGCTCAAACCACATCTGGGTTTTCATTAAAGTCACACAGACTTATCAATGTGGTTTAGGACAGAGTATGACTTACTGTAATATATAAAATGTCATTATGTAGCAGAACACCTCTGTATAAGATAAGTTGTGCTGAATTCTGGCTCCCCTGCAGAGACTTCATGTCACTGTAACACACATCAAACAGGCCTATATACACTAGATCACATTCTCCATATGTTATTTCTATTTATGAATGCTTCGTGGTGAAGATTTGTTCCTTTTTTAAGCAGAAGATTTACTTTTCTGTCCAGTTTTCAAGACCACTGCTGCATGTAAGGCATCTGAAGAGGAGATTCAAGAGACTACAGTGTGGTGTAAAGGTGAGGATGAAATAATGAAATAACTAAAAGTAATTCATAATAAAAGCAAAATCAGTTTGTCAAGCAGTCTTGCATGATCACTTTGTCAAGTAGAATTACATCAATTATTATGGTGTCAGTATTACAGTATTAACACTGATTGCCTCATGTATATCACATGCATTCAAATTAATGAAATTGGTGTATAATTGAGATTTACTCCTCCTAGACCTGCTGTTGAACACAATATTGGCCAACAGTCTGAGCAAACTGGAGGACAAGGAGGCGAGCACCCACTTTAAGAGCAGTGGTGATGCTCAGCATCAGAATTATGAGTTACTGCTCATGACAATGAAGAAGAAATGGGCCGGAAAATTCTCAGAAACGAGTGGTATGTCAGAAATACTATATTATTACTGAGCATTTTTACATGAAACATGAAAATCTTGATGTATTATCTCTATTTACTTAGAGAAGTCCATTGTATCTTCTGCTTCATTGTGTTGTAGCTGTGAGGAGGCCTCTGGTCCATCCTCTGACCTCCTGCCTCCACACTGATGCCCCAGTAGTCCTGCATCTCCATCTGAACTCCACAGTGGACTTCACCCTGAAAGATGAGCTGAAACAGATGGATCTGAAGAGGAAGTGGATGGAACGACTGAGGCAGAGGGAGGAGCTAAAGAAACTGAGTGGCAGTACTGTTATCATGCCGACGGATGTCAGCGACGCTGAGAAAAGTGGTGAGAAATGTAGAGTCATTGAGAGTCTTGAGCGTAAGACAGCTAGAAAATGTGAAGTTAGCCTATTATAGCATTGTTTAGGATTGCTAATGTGTATAGGCATGTATTCTATAGGAGGACGTTATATCATTCTTTTCAAGCCTCATCATGCCTTATCAAGGCAGTTATTGGTAATTAACATCTTGCTAATTACTACATTATAAAGCATCAAATAGAGTCAGTTAAGAATTCCAAGGGCACTTTTGCTTATTACTATGATGTAGAATACACAAATAAAAATGCTTAATTGACTATGTTTATGGCATAATGATGTAGTAATTAGCTTCCAGTTAATAACCAACAACTGACTTGATAAGGTTCAGTAAGAACATTACAGGTGGTCTGGAAAATGTTTACTTCACCCCAGTTATTGTTGCTTAGTAATGTAGTAATTAGCAGCATGTTAATTAACAGCTACTGGATGCTCATTACTGCACTTTTAAAGGACTGAATCATTGAAAAATTAAATGTACACAATTTTCCACTTACTACAGGTGTAGTCGATCAGCCGAGGCATTTTTAGTATCTAAATTTTGCTTCTTTAGTTTAGTGCTGGAGTTACAAGGTTAACATTACTAATAAACACCAATAATTACTCAAATTTTAATATGTCCCCAAAACCCAGTTAACCTGCTCAAACCACATCTGGGTTTTCATTAAAGTCACACAGACTTATCAATGTGGTTTAGGACAGAGTATGACTTACTGTAATATATAAAATGTCATTATGTAGCAGAACACCTCTGTATAAGATAAGTTGTGCTGAATTCTGGCTCCCCTGCAGAGACTTCATGTCACTGTAACACACATCAAACAGGCCTATATACACTAGATCACATTCTCCATATGTTATTTCTATTTATGAATGCTTCGTGGTGAAGATTTGTTCCTTTTTTAAGCAGAAGATTTACTTTTCTGTCCAGTTTTCAAGACCACTGCTGCATGTAAGGCATCTGAAGAGGAGATTCAAGAGACTACAGTGTGGTGTAAAGGTGAGGATGAAATAATGAAATAACTAAAAGTAATTCATAATAAAAGCAAAATCAGTTTGTCAAGCAGTCTTGCATGATCACTTTGTCAAGTAGAATTACATCAATTATTATGGTGTCAGTATTACAGTATTAACACTGATTGCCTCATGTATATCACATGCATTCAAATTAATGAAATTGGTGTATAATTGAGATTTACTCCTCCTAGACCTGCTGTTGAACACAATATTGGCCAACAGTCTGAGCAAACTGGAGGACAAGGAGGCGAGCACCCACTTTAAGAGCAGTGGTGATGCTCAGCATCAGAATTATGAGTTACTGCTCATGACAATGAAGAAGAAATGGGCCGGAAAATTCTCAGAAACGAGTGGTATGTCAGAAATACTATATTATTACTGAGCATTTTTACATGAAACATGAAACTTCTCATGTACCATTTCTATTTACTTAGTGGAGTCCATTGTATCTTCTGCTTCATTGTGTTGTAGCTGTGAGAAGGCCTCTGGTCCATCCTCTGACCTCCTGCCTCCACACTGATGCCAAAGTAGACCTGCATCTCCATCTGAACCCCACAGTGGACTCCACCCTGAAAGAGGAGGTAAAACAGGTAGGTATGAAGAGGACGTGGAGGGAACGACTGAGGCAGAGGGAGGAGCTAAAGAAGCTGAGTAGCAGTTCTGATAAAAGGCCAACGGATGTCAGCGACACTGAGAAAAGTGGTGAGAAATGTAGAGTCATTAAGAGTTTTGAGCGTAAGACAACTAGAAAATGTGAAATTAGCCTATTATAGCATTGTTTAGGATTGCTATTGTGTATAGGCATGTATTCTATAGGAGGACATTATATCATTTTGTAATTATGCCTTACCAAGGCAGTAGTTGTTAATTAACTAGTTGCTAATTACTACATTATAAAGTATCAAATATAGTGAGTTAAGAATTCCCACGGGCACTTTTATTACACTTTTTTAAAAGGTAGTAACTAACATACCATGTCAATAACTTTCAAATAATTGGCTGCTCATTACTATATTATTAGGCAGGAACAACAGTGCATTAAACATTTTCCAAAGCATCCTTAATGCTCTACTTAAGCTTTATAGAGATAGCAGCTGCAAACTAACTGGCTGCTCATTACTGTGATGTAGAATACACAACTAAAATTGCATAATTCAAGGCAATTCAAGAGACTACAGTGTGGTGTAAAGGTGAGGTGAAATAATAAAATAACTCAAAGTAATTAACAATAAAAGCAAAATCAGTTTAAGAGTCAGTCTTGCATGATCACTTTGTTAATTCAAGTAGAATTACACCAGTTATTATGGCATCAATGTTACAGTATTAATACTGATCACCTCATGTATAATACATGCATTCAAATGAACAAAATTGGTGTATAATTGAGATTTACTCCTCCTAGATCTGCTGTTGAACACAATTCTAGCAAATGCTGTGAGGAAACTGGAGGACAAGGAGGCGAAAGCCATCAGCACCTACTTTAAGAACAGTGGTGATGCTCAACATCAGGACTATGAGCTGCTGCTGATGAAAATGAAGAGGAAATGGGCCGGAAAATTCTCAGAAATGAGTGGTTTGTCATAAATACTTCATTAGTTACTGAACATTTATACGTGAAATGTGAAACTTCTCGTGTATTGTTTCTTTTTACTTAGTGGAGTCCATTGTATCTTTTGCTTCGTTGTGTTGTAGCTGTGAGAAGGCCTCTGGTCCATCCTCTGACCTCCTGCCTCCACACTGATGCCAAAGTAGACCTGCATCTCCATCTGAACCCCACAGTGGACTCCACCCTGAAAGAGGAGGTGAAACAGGTAGGTATGAAGAGGACGTGGAGGGAACGACTGAGGCAGAGGGAGGAGCTAAAGAAGCTGAGTAGCAGTTCTGATAAAAGGCCAACGGATGTCAGCGACACTGAGAAAAGTGGTGAGAAATGTAGAGTCATTAAGAGTTTTGAACGTAAGACAACTAGAAAATGTGAAATTAGCCTATTATATCAGGCATAAGGATTGCTAACGTGTATAAGCCTATATTGTACAGGAGGACATTATATCACTCTTTTAAAGCCTCATCATGCCTTATCAAGGCAGTAGTTAGTAATTAACTAGCTGCTAATTGCTACATTATAAACCATCAAACAGAGCGAGTTAAGAATTCCCAAGGGCACTTTTATATGTGTACATCATAATATTTTGCAGATTTCACAAGTTCATTATTCCACCTGTGTTATGCCTCATCAAGCAATAGTTAGTAACTAACTTACCATGTAAATACTAAACTACTAAATAACTGGCTGTTCATTACTAAATTCTCACACAGTAACTACAGTGAATTAAAGCATTTTTAATGCTCTACTTAAGCCTTATAGCGATAGCAGCTGCTAATTAACTGGCTGCTCATTACTATGATGTAGAATACGCAAATAAAATTGCTTAACTGACTATGGCATAATGATGTAGTAGTTAGCTTCTTGTTAGTTACCAACTACTGGCTTGATAAGGCTCAAAAAGAGGCGTGCAAGTGCTCTGGAAATGTTTAAGTGACCCCAGTTATCGTTGCTTAGTAATGTTAATTCTCTGGCATCTAATTACTACAGGTACTGGATGCTCATTACTACATTTGTAAAGGAATAAATGGTCAAAAAATCAAATGTACACAATGTTCAACTTACAACAGATGTAGCTGATCAGCCAAGACATTTTTGGTGTCAAATTTTGCGCCTTTAGTTTAGCACTGGAGTTACGAGGGTAAAGTTGATAACAGACATTAGAAGCCAATAGTCACCCAAATCTTCTCTGTAAATATGTCTGTAAATCCATTCAGCCTGCTCAAACCACATCTGGCTCTTTATTAAAGTTGCACAGACATGTCCATGTGGTTTAGGACACAGTATGTTTTACTGTGATCTATGAAATGTCATTATGTAGCTGAACACCTTTATGTAAAAAATGTGTTAAATTCTGGCTCCCCTGCAGAAATTGACTACACCTCACTTACACACACATCACACAGGCCTATAGACACTAGATCACGTTCTTAATGTGTTGTTTCTATTTATTAATGCTACATGGAGAAGATTTGTTCTTTTTTTAAGCAAAGCATTTGCTTTTTTGTCCAGCTTACAAGACCACTGCTGCATGCAAGGCATCTGAAGAGGAGATTCAAGAGACTACAGTGTGGTGTAAAGGTGAGAGTGAAAGAAAAACAAATCAACGTATTTAACAATAAAAGCAAAATCAGTTTATCAATTAGTCTTGCATGATCACTTTGTTAATTCAAGTAGAATTTCACAATTATTTTGATGGTGTCAAAATTGCGGTATTAATATTGATCACCTCATGTATATCACACACAGTCAAATGAAAGAAAATTGGTGTATAATTGAGATTTGCTCTTCCTAGACCTGCTGTTGAACAACATTGTGTCAAACGCTGTGAGGAAACTGGGGGACAGTGAGGCAAAAGCCATGAGCACCCACTTTAAGAACAGTGGTGATGCTCAACATCAGGACTATGAGCTGCTGCTGATGAAGCTGAAGAGGAAATGGGCCAGAAGATTCTCAGAAATGAGTGGTATGTCATAAATATTTTATTAATTACTGAACATTTATCCGTGAAACATGACAATTCTCATGTATCATTTCTATTTACTTAGTGGAGTCCATTGTATCTTCGGCTTCATTGTGTTGTAGCTGTATCCTCTGACCTCCTGCCTCCACACTGATGCCCCAGTAGACCTGGGCATCATAATGGAAAACTAACATGATATGTAAAAGATTACAGTGTATGATACACAAATAAATTTGCTCTGGGAAATGTTAATTAACCTTCATAAAGCTTATAAAGTTTTAAAAAGTTTATCTCCCTTTAATAAGCGCTTTATAAAGCCATTATAATGTCTGCATATACTGAAGTGTTACCAACTATAGGTTAATAAAAACATGTTCTCTTAAGTTTTAGTCAGTTTGTATATTTAATAACTGAATATTTCATATTTTGTTTATTTGTTGATTGTTGATCAAATTCTGAAAGCATACAAGCAAATGTGATGAGCCCCAGAATGACTAAATGAAATAAATGGATGTTTGTATTTAGAAGTTTGTATTTTATTTTTTGCTGTTTTGTTCTGTAGTTCAGTCTCAGCCTCTACATCCACCACGGACCAACCCTCTTAATGTACACTCACCAGCGAAGACACAGGAGCAGACGAGCAACAAGAAGAACCTGATTAAAACCAGCACTTGCTCTCAGGAAGAGGCTCATGCAATGAAGATCCAAAGAAAATGGAGCAAAAGGCTGACAAAGATGTAAAAAACAGCAAGATGACGGACGGAATGAGACGCTGAGCAGAGCCCCAAAAGCATCACTACAAAACTTCTTTACATGTTTACACATTTCCATATTTTCTTTATTCTTTATCTTCTGTACACTTTTTTACATACTTTACATTCTTTTTACATTTTTCTGTGCTCTTCACTTTTATTTCTTATATTTTTTGTTGTTTTTATGTAGTTTTTCAAGCATTTTTTTTTTTGAAATATTTAATAAAATGTAAAAATTCTTTAAATACAGTTTGTCTCGAGTTTGTGTTCATTACACAAGATCCTTATCAAAAGTCCCCTAAAGTCATCATTTAAAGAGCAATATGTAAGATAATGCAACCCACTCTAAATAAATAAAGGGCAACATGTCACTAGAAAGTTGTGATGTCCACCCCTATCATAAGAAACAAGGAAATGCCCTCCTCCTTCCTAAAACCGTCTACCTGGGTGTGGGACCTTCAACATGACTGACAAGAGGTTAGAGTCCTCCTTCCATAAACCGTCTAACTGGGGTGGGACTTTCAACATGACTGACAGCGCTACTTCTTCTTTAATTTTGTACTGATGGCAGACTCGACACTACAGTTACTCGCTATTATGAGACAGGACAGGCCGGTGCTAACTGATTAGCATGCTAACTTCAGTAGCTATCTCTGCAACACGATACACAGACGTCTTTGACATAACATCAAAACCGCTATTTCTTCGCATTCTCTGCTCATATTTGAGTGTTTATCTATATTATTTGAGTATTTGCGTGTTGCTTCTAAACTTGCCTCAGTGCAGCATCAGGAGTCAGAAGTGCTGGTGGTTTAGTGATTTTGCTAAACTAACACTAGTTTCTGTTGCAAATGAGGACATTTAAGCAACATTAGCTAAAGCTAACAGCTCCACATACAAAAACACAGGTGTACCTGCTCAGTAATGAGTGTTTATTTTCTGAATTTGCATTTGGCTTCAGTGGGACTGCACTTATTCGAAGCTGTAACATTCTAAGCTTCTGCTAATTGCTATCTGCCACTGCTCGCTCTAAAATAATCAACTCCAGAAGTCACATATCACTATTCATGACCTACAGGAATCAAATGCTACCAGTTATACACCAATAAGATGTGAATTTAGGTGGTAATTCACACTCAATAATTTCCATAATAAGTTTTTAACAATGTTTATTGTGAATTATTGCAGCTAACATTGCAATAATAAGTTATTTTCACATAAAATACCTTTAAATGTGTATTAATAGAGCTTAAAATTAGTACACTTTGATGCATAGTGATAAACCAGTTTGAAGTGTCTAATCTTTTTTTTTCTGAACAAAGAACAGGATCGTAAAGTTCCAATGTGTTCCTTAAAATAATGTGTAAATGCTGTTACTTTTTACTGCACTTTTGCAGTATGTATTTATTCCAATGTTATATGATGTTATATATAATGGCAAGAACACACTTATTGTCCAAATAAATGGATTTAAAAAATTTTCTTTTGTGCTATGTTTTAGGTTTTTTTTAGACTTAAGTCTGGGGATGGTGAAGTAAATCCTTTAAGTAAATCAAGGTTGATTTTGGTGTTTGTTTTGGATCATTGTCTAGTTGCAACCACTTTTCTTCTTCAGGTTCTTCACTGTGACAGTTGCTTTCATGAGTTGTTGATATTTAGTAGAACCTTTTCTTCCCTCTATCCCTGCAACATTTCCTGTGCCCCTGGCTGCCACATAACATCATAGCATAATAGATCCACTCCCTTGCATACAGTTAGCAAGGTGTTCTTTTCATCAAATCTTGCTCTTTTTTCTGCAAACATGCCTTTGGTTACTGTGTCCAAATAGTAAAATGTTTGCTTCATTAGACCACAGCTCTTGATTTAAGTGCCTCTAGCTTATCTAAGTGTAGTGTTTCATTCTTCAGGCGTTGACTTTTGTGATGAGCTCCTTAACATCACTGTTAAGGTTAAGTTCTGATTACCTTTCCATGTAGATGACATTTGTCTAATAACACTGCGCTGTGGGCCAGTGCATCCCTATTCCTGTGCCAGCCATACCTTTCAATAGGTCCTTTATAGTGATGTGGGGGTTTTGCTTTGCATATTTGACCAGTCTAAGAGCAGGTTCTTCTTAGTCTTTCAGATCTTGTGTAACTTAACTTCTTAATAGCATTTTGGACTGTGATAATTCCAAGAATAAAGAATTTTATATTTATATAAAGTTGTTATAATTAGTTTCAGATCCTCAGTCAGTGGCTTAGAGGTGCCCATGGCTGTTGTGAGTGTAAGTACAACATCCTGAGATGTTTGAATGTTTAGCTCATTTATTACACTCTGGAATTGTCTACACCTAACTGGGAACAAGGCCTAATGAGTCAAAGCTCTTAAACCTTACAACAGATAGCACTAATTTGCAGAATTGTGTCAGGTTTAAGTTTGTTCCATGCAGATGTTACATGAACTTCTTTGCACTTCTTTGCACAAAATTTGCAAATTATCCAAGGGTACAAAGACAAACACTCTGAAGGTTAGTTATGAAAGGGTTAAAGTAGCAGCAGTCATGTTACCTCTGTCCTGTTCTTTGTTGCAGGTGCGTTTGTACGTTCGAGCTTATTGTCATAAATCAGGCTGCTAGCGTGTTGCATTATTACTGATGTCCCGCCATACTGCAAACAAAGTGATTCACACAGAATACACTGAGGTGCGATTCAGCAATGATGAATATGTATGAATTTCACAATCCATTGAGGCAAGTGGAAAGATAAACATTTAGTCAATGCTGAATATTTGCATATTGGCTAAAGCAGCACTGTCACACAGAAGGGCTGAGCGTTTGCAGCATAAACAAACCAAAACCCTGTTAAAGGCATACTTCACCCAAAAACCCTTAGACTGCTAATGACACCCGACACATGTGGGTGAAATATCCATGTGTGAAGTGTTGCTCTAGTGATCATTTAAGAATAAGACACTGTTCATTTTTGTGCTATTTCCAGGTTGCTGAAGGACCTTCACAAGTGTTTAATCTCCATAAGAAATAAAAAAATGACTTATCAGCTGTTTATATTTTACACTTATAACTTGGACGACCAAACTGAGTGCATTAAGCATACACTTTCAAATTTAAAGATGCCAAGAATGATTCTTTAGAGCAATCTCACTGAAGAACCACTTCTTCTAACAAACCTTTCAATAAGCGATTGCTATGTAAAAGCCAACCACCATTCATTTATTTCATTTCCAGTCAAAAAGACAATGAAGTAACAGAAGTTTTCAGAAAAAAATGATTAAAACATACACAGAAAATGAGACTCTTAACAACTGTGCAAGACCTGGTAGACCACCAAAACTCTCCCATCAGAAGCAGCACTTAAAGCTTTCATCTTTGAGAGAGAGGAGAAAATCAAGCTGCTTCAGATATGAAGAAAATCCACAGGTGTTTCTGTCCATCCTTCCAGTGTGAGAAGACAACTCAGCACTATGAGTCTGAAAGGATGTGTGGCTGTCAAGAAGCCTTACCGATAAAAGGGAGACAGACAAGAAAGAAGAAATCAAACAATTTTGATTTGATTTCAAGGAATCCCAAGCAGAAAATGCAACCAACTTCTAAGACTGAACTTGGGAGGTGTGGAACAATATCCCTGTAGATTTCTTTGAAAAACTGAAAGCAAGTATACTGAAAAGAATGTAGTGAATAAAAAGAGCACACTCACTGAGCACTGAAAAAAATTAATTTATATTTCTTCATATTTAGTTGTTGATTATTTAGTTGTTGATGGGTGGTCTTTGAATTTTGCACAGCACTACATCACTTAGTACATGGGATATTATAAAACCCTTGTAATGCTGTTATAAAGCCTTAACAAGCCAGTAGCTGGCTATTCCCTGGCTGTTCATTACTACTTTAATTAAGCACCTGGACCTATATTTCTTGAGACCATGCTCAGGTATAAAATTATGATATATAATACACAAACAAAAACAAGTGGAAAATCCAAAATTCATCTTAGTTATTGCTTAATACAGTTAATAAGGAGGCAGTTACTAAGGAGTTACTGGCTTGACAGGATTAGATACCAGCTGTTGGCTTGTTGCGCAGTCTCCCTATACTGAAGTGTTACCAAGGAATATAGTTCATGTTTCCATATATTTATCCAATGACATACAAATTTGAACCGAGCAAATTCAATGCATCCCTTTTTCCAATGTACCTGTCATATCATGAGCCACAGCCTGGGTCACATAGCCGAGTGATTTTGCACAGATTGTGTCGACTGCAGGATGCTGTTGTGATGGCAGAAGGTAATGATATAAATCTGTATGTCATTGCGTCCCCAGGTACCTCCATCTGCCTTTAAATCAAATACAAGCTCAGTCAACACTCAGCATTCAGCAGACATCATGGCTCTAGTTATGGTTATGGCTATTGTTATGGTTATGGTTATGGTTATGGCTATATTTTATGGAGCCCTTAAAAGGAAATAAAGAAAAAAAAGGATCTTGATAAACAACAAAAAAGACAAAAAGAACATGCTTACATAAAAGACAAACATCAGACACTAGTAATGCAGCTCATTTGTATTTCGATGCTGTCCAATGAAAACCATGTATGTCCATTTTTGTTGATTTTACATCATTTCAACAAACCAGCTGCCCCTTACATTGTGTAAAAATTTCATGATGAATGGACATTTACATTGACTTACATTGAAAGGTAAGAGTGTTTTTGCCTGCTCCTGTAAAGTTAATATTTTGGAGATACTTGTTTTTTATTGGACAGCGATGATTTGTTATGTAAATTTATAATTAGCATAGAGTAATACAATGTAATAGAGAATGTGACATCATATTTCAGATATGTCATGAAGATGCTTATTCACCACTGAAATTATAATTACATTACAATGCTTAGTCGTTATTAAAACATTATAATTATAAAAAAAATTTAGTGCAGGGTAAGAACCGACATGACGTCACCATCCACTGAATACATGGTAATTACGTTAC